GGTTGATCCAAGTAGGAAATCAGCAAATATCTTTGAAGAGCTCAAACTCCTACAAAACACTCCACTTAAATAAAACTTAACACATGCAGCTGTGCTATAACCGATGAGTGTCCAAGAGCAAGGGAGTTCATGGATGTGACACACAGGAGGAGAAGCTCCTCATCTAAAGGCATGGAAAGTCAAAATGTTCTTGCTATCTGTCCTACCTCCTTAAAGTAACCCACAAGCTGTTCCCTGGCAAAGGAGGCATGGTGACAGCAGCTCTCAAGTGTCAGACATATGGGAGGAGAGCTCATTTTAGGTCTGACAGGGTGCACCCAGACACCATACTCGCCCATGGGAAAAGGGACGCCATACATCACCCACCAGCAATGTCAGAAGCCACAAACTCTTATAAATGGAGTTTGTTAATATGTACATACATATTATATGAGTTTATACATAAAATACATTGATATAAGGACTAAACTGTAGAAGGGACTCTACTAAAAGGACAAGAAGAATGACTGGGGAAGCGAAAGAAAAGAGTATTCAGATCTGAGCCATAGGAAAAAAACAGAAACAAGAAAAAAAAAAATCTGTTAGTCTTAAATTCAATTCAGCCTCACACTAATATTTTGAGGATGACAGCCAGCGGGACTCAAACTGCAACTTAGCTGGACAATCTGAAAAAATTTACTTACTGGCTGGTATAGAAAGGGATACTTGAAAATGTTGAAAAGTTTATTCAATTCCTACCAAGATGGTAATAAGATAGATAGTAGGATGACGTCCACGACACACATTTTATGTCTTTTGCTGAAGTTGCCACGACATCAAATCACAAACCTGTCAAACCTGAACCATCCAAGCAGCTCCAAGGAATCTAGTGATAAAGACTCCATAGTTACACTGAAATATAATTAAAAATATGCAAAATGGAAAACGTGCCATCATCTGTTCATGTGCAGTGTTACAAACAGGATGCACATTCTTTTTTCTCCCCCCTCCCCCTTTTCTTTTAAGTATCACAATGTTAGTTCCAAATGGTTTGAAAATTAACAACATAAACATAACATTAAAAAAAAAAATATCTCATTCCAAGGATGTTGTACATCACTTTAAAACTGAACTGCTTCACAGTTGAGATTTTTCAAGTAGCCCTTCTTTTTCACCTCAAATCCTACAGTTTTTATGCATTAAATGATATGACCCAAAACCTACAAATCTACATAGTAAATAAAACTCCATGTGTGTCTTCTGCTTCTGCTGCAAGTCTAGGCTTTCTGTGTCAAAAATGAGCCCAGGTAAGAGCAAAATGCACACAAATGTGCTCCCAGTTATTACACAGTGCTATGAGCTTTCTCAACCTCTAAAAATGAAGAAAAAGGAGGGAAGATAAAACTCCTGTTGTCCCTCAGGAAATCCATATCTCTGAAACATCTTTTGTCTCCTGATTACATGACCAGGCATAAAACCTGCTTGGAATAATCACACATGCAAATTGTAATTTTTACTGTTGCAAACGCTGATATGATTGAAATTTACTTTCCAAGAACATCTGGGACACTAAAATTGAGTGGTTAAAAATGTTCCATTTTTCCACAGTATTCAGAAGTCCTGTAATAATGTATGAACAACTAGTGGTAAAAAGGAGCAGTGTTTTGTTTATTGTGCTCAGAGTATTTTGGAACTAAGCTACTATTATCTTTTGTCATGTGCATCCTTTTTTTTTTCCTTTTCCATTTTTTAAGGCTACTTCTATACCCACGAACCGAGCAGCGCTTCAGCGTCTAAGCCCAAGCACTGGAACACTGTCGTCTGTATCATTAAGCTGCTAAAAGTGTATCCGTCATGCTTTTGATCTAAGTTGACTGACTCTCAGCTCCAAAATAGCCAGGAATGATGTGAGAGTTAGGTAAGGTCAGGGATCGTTTCTAATAGGTAGCTTACATGTGGCCCCCATTTTGGGGAGAATGGAGAGCATAACACAGATACAGCCAGACCAGGTCATTGGCCTCACCAACAAAAAAAGGCCCTGGACTATTTGCCCTACAAGCATAGATGTAACCAGCTCACAGCAACTCAATTACATTTGCAGGTCCATTTTTATTCACAGGAGCATCCAGGCATGTGCTTGAAGTTAAGCATGTCTTTAAATGTTTTCAAGAATAAGCATTCTTTAATTGAGGCTTCAGTGTTTCTTCTAAAGTAATTGGGACTTTTTTTAATTAAAGGTTCATTCTCATGTCAACCCTGAAGTCTAGCAGCCTAAAAAGAAGCTTAATTAAATTTAAAAAAAAAAAAAAAAAATCATCACAGAAATTTCTCTGGCAAAACATAGTTAAAAAACATGTCAAGTGAAAAGATCCTACCTATACTGAAAATGAATGTACAGTTAACAAAAAAAAAAAAAAAAGGCTTCACAGTAAAGAAAGAAAAAAGAACAAAAACTTGATTTCCCCAAAAAGGTAAGAGAGAAAGATGAAGGCCAATTATACTGGTAAACTGAAATTATCAACCCCTGTCAGTTTACCACATTATTTCATAAACCCAATGTCTCACCAGCCCAGAAATTACATTTCTTCAAGTTAATCCCCAAAAGACTGGTCTCTGGGAAGGCTGAGGTAGAAAACACTTGAGCAGACAGTCTGGTGAAGCATTTTACAAAAGATTGAAGGGTTCATCCAAAAGCTTTTAAAACAAGAAACTTGCCTATTTTACTACTAACTACTCTGATAAGAGTTTGCCTCTCTAAGACTACAATACTTAAGGCATGGTCTGTGCTCTACTAAGGGCTCCAACTGCAACTGTAGGACAACGGCCATGCTCAGAGAAGCCTGGGAGTGACAACGCTTCAGAAATACTTAGAAGAAATACAGAAGAAGAAGCAAAAAAGGAGAAGCAAATGTCAGGAGCTGGTCTGAGAAAGGCAAAAATCAGAAGGCAGGTAATTTGTATTAAACACCCATGTTTGGGGGTACTGCTCTTCCTTCCAAGTGACTTATTTTCTTGAAAATACCTAGCATCTCCATTATGTTTTTCACCTGAGGATCTGAAAGCTCAACAGATACGACAAAATTTCTCTCAACAGTAGATGATTAGCTGGGTGTGACAAAATCAAAAGAAGCAAGAGAGCTCGCACTAAAGATCAGTCTGTGACGCAGCTGGTGCCAAAGGACCCCAAAATGCTGACTGCATAGCCACCGCAGGCCAACAACCAGTACCTGACACCGTCACTTCCTTCCTCTTTCGGCAAAATTTCTTTCAGACTGAAGAGTTTTGTTTTGTGACAATTTTATGGTTTGTAAGAACAATAAATATATCAAAGCCTGGCCCACTGATGAGAACAGTAGTTAACAACAACAAAAAAAGGATGCATTATCTGACTATTAATTCTCTGCTTTGAGAAGCCGAGCAACTATTTCAATTTCAGATGTATTTCAGGTTGAAGTTATGATCACTTGGTACAAAAGTCACCTGAGACTTTTTCCGTACTAATTTTTTAGGATTTTTCACAGCAATCTTCAGGAAAAAGCCCACCCTGTTAACACAGATTATGCAAATCTGCAGCCACCATCAGGTACCATTCTTATTTTACTGCTATACACAAACAACACAAAAATTAATCTGACCTAGTCATTTCCTCATTCTGCTTTTCAATGCCTGTATTCGATAACTGTAAGTATACTAATTCATTACTGATAGCAATTTAACGTGAGTTTATTCCCACGTTTTGGGTTTTTTTAAACCATTTTTTGGTAGGGTTATCATTCTGTTATCCACAGCCTAACTAACTCCTGCACTTTACGAAAGCTTTTTATTTCACACCAAATGGCAGATTACCTCCTGATTTGTCATTACTGAACAAAGATATGTCTGCCAAGCTCTTTTAGTTATGGACTAATTCACAGACATGTCAAATGACGTAAGGAAACTAAAATACCCAAAGTCTTAGTACAGGCTCAAGTTCAGATGCCAAAATATGCCCTAATGTATAAGATACCTGTACTTTTGCTCAATGTTAATAACCAAGATTACAAGATTACCTACAAATGCTTCTAAGGAAAGCAGAAATTGTTGCAGAGCTCCCATAGTACACGGCAAATACAGTCTCTATACATTTTACATGTGTTTCCCAATTGTGTCAAGGAACTACTGCAAAGAACAGCAATTTTAAGATGATGTGCATTAATATAAAACTGTCCATCACCTAGGATGCTCTTATATAGTGCTTAATCTCTTGTTCTGTATTTGTCAGGGGGTTTTGCCACAAAGTTACTCAATTCTCTTCTGCTCCTGCAATTATTTTTGTAAAATATTTTTATACTACTCAATATTTCTCAAGCTTGTGAGATTACTTAAGCCAATGTAATTTAAACTTTCATTGTACAATTCTGGCAGGAAGCATATATACTGGAAAACTATTTTCAGAGTTCAGATTCTCTCTCTCATAGACCACAAAATACAACTGCTGGATTTTGATGTATTTCCTTGCTTTATCAGACATATCAATCCATGCCAATCAACATTGACATGCTTGATTTTTCCCTAAACAAAACATACACACACACACACAAAAGAGAACAGAATCAGTCAAATAGAATACTTCTCTAGCTTCGACGTGACTACATTTTCCTTTGCTTTTGGGGAGCGCAACACTGTGCATTATGACAATGCGTAATTGACATCAATACTTTCCAGTCAGGATATAAATCCTACTTTCTCCATTGTCACTGATGATAATGAAAACAACAATTCTACTTTTACTTACTCACAAGAAAACTGTCTTGCTGCAGTCATGAGAAATGTTTTACTATAAATTTTGCTACAATGTATGTTGTTATTGTACATGACTTAATTATATAAAGTAAGCATTTTATAAAATACATTCTTCCTTACATCTGTACTTCTCTTCCAGAAGGCCCTTAGAGAGAGACATCAAGCCAATTTTCAGGGACTGCACTCGAATTTTTCCAGTTCGGCCACTGAAATTATAAAGATAAGACAAATTAATACAGTTTAATTTTATTTCATTCCAACTCAAGTCTATTCAAAAAAGCAAAGGCATTGGTGAGTTTTACTTCAAATATACTTCAATCTCAAAACAAATTAACACTACAAATCACATTAAGAATGCTTCCCTTACAAAAGCTCAGCTCGCCTTTAAGTGGTTTACATGTCAAAACAGTTCGTATTACTCCAAAAGGGCAGACATTTAGCTCTGTAAAGCTCTCAACATGATTTAATAATGTGATATACACAGAAAAAATACACGAGCACACAGCAGGAAAGCCTATTACTCAGTGTGAAACACAAGGACTGCAAAATAAAACCAAGTTTTCATATCATAGTAATTCATTCATTTTTTTCACTTCATTTTTTCTTTTTATATTTAAAATGCTCTGATATACATGTGTACCAGGACATAAGCAGCCAACCACATGCAATAATTAAATGATGTGGAGCTGTTGTTCTTTTTATGCAATATGACTTCAGGCTCATCTTGTCCAACATGAAAAAAAAATAATGCCCAACCCCCCAAAAAACACACATCAAACCTTAAGCAACTTGAGAACAGGTAAGTGGGTACCAAAGCAAGTGATTTTAAACCTGCAAGACAAACACTGTTCAAAAACATACTAAAGCAATAAACCCAGGGTACATGGAAAAGGACAATTTTAAAGTTCAAAAGACCAGGGCAGAAACATATTCTTAAAAGATCTGACAACTTCTTCTTTCAAAGACCAAAAAAGATGACACAATTTGTCTTTAGATGAGACATGGAAAAAAAAATCATGAGAATAGTAGTTAAACTGTATATATTATACACGAACCCCTGCATTTAAGGTTAGCTGGGTCCCTTCACCAGCAAGTAAGATATTACTAAAATTAATATCACCTCAAACATTACTTTGGTCCCTTCTGTCATGCAGAAGTGATCTATCCTTTAATTACTTCTGGAGTGGTTATTAGATATCTCTTCCTGTCCTATCCATTCAACATATGGTCTGCTGTCTGATTTACTTCACAAATGTTGTGCTGAATACAAAATTATTAATTTACTCCTGGGCTCTCAGTAAATTAGCTAAGCGCCTTACAAATATTAATGCATTTGTCTTCACAACCATCACCTAATCTAGTGAGACTAGATAGTATTATCTTCTCTATTCCACAAGCTGGAACAGAGGTACAGAGAAATTATTGCTAAATTAATCAAAAACACCCATTACTTTTACTGCCGAGTTTGAAAATCAGGACCCAATTTTCCAGAATGTTATAAAAGTGCCACCTATTTTATACATTCAAGCTTAACTTCAAATTACCTCTTTCAATCACAGACACTACCTCATTCTGGCGTACCTTAACGTGTAAATGGCTCATTTTGCAACCTTGATAAGTTCTTTCCCCATTCTTTCCCATGTAGCATTGTCTGTGTTTTAACTTTATATTCAATGGAAAAACAAAGCTGAACATTCATTTGGGTTTGATTTAACTCAAAATCAATTTAACTTTGACTGACTACAGCATTTGTTTATTAAAGGCAGAAACTCAGTAAGACTTTGCAGCTATAAGGTCAGGGCACACATGTGGAGGCTTCAAACTTCTCCAGATTTCAGCAGATTGGTATAGGGACTGTGAAAAACTTCCTTCACACAAAAAGCATTTTCTCAATAAATAATAAAAAGAATTACAAAGCCTGCAATATTACATTCTTCTAAAGAGTAACATATTTCCCCCTAGCCTTTTTCTTGGAAACAGCTAAATATTAGCACTGAAATTATGTATACAGTAAAAAACCCACAACAAAACCACACCTCCTCCCACCCCACCCCTCCAGACTTTGCAGCACTGACACTTCCAATTCAGTGGTTTAAGTTTGCCCACCTTAGAGAGTCACAAAACCACTGAGGTTGGGGGGGACCTCTGGAGATCATCTAGACCAATGCCCCTGCTCCGTCAGGCAGAGCAGGTTTTCCTGGATCATATCCAGTCAGGTTTTGAATATTTTCAAGGATGGTGACTGCACAGCTTCTCTCACCAACCTGTGCCACTGTTCAATCACCCTCATATTAAAAAAATATTTTTCTTATATGTTTAAGCAGAATTTCCTGTGTTTCAGTTTGTGCCCACTGCCTCCTGTCCTGTCACTGGGCACCACTGAGAAGAACCTGGCTTCATCTTCTCTACTGCTTCCATCGGGTATTTATGCACATTAATGAGATCCTCCTGAAATTTCTCTTCTCCAGGTTGAAAAGTCCCAGCTCTCTCAGCCTCTCCTGATACATCAGATACCACAAGTCTTTAACCATTTTCATGGTACTTCACTGGACTTTCTCCAGTTTGTCCATGTCTCTTTTGTCCTGGGGAGCCCAGAACTGGACTCAGCACTCCAGATGCGTCTCACCAGCACTGAGTAGAGGGGAAGGATTACCTCCCTCGACCTGCTGGGAAGGCTTTTCCTAATGCAGCCTGGGAGACTATTGGCCCACTTTGCCACAAGCGCATGTTGCTGGCTCATGTTCAACCTGGTGTCCACCAGGACCCCCAGGGCCTTTCCTGCAAAGCTGCCTTCCAGCCAGTTGTCCCCCAGCCTGTACTGGTGTATGGGGTTCTTCCTCCTTAGGGGGGGGACTTGGCACTTCCCTTCATTGAAGTTCGTGAGATTCCTGTTGTCCCCTTTCTCCAGCCTGTCAAGGTGCCTCTGAATGGCAGCACACCCATCTAGTTGTGCTGTGTGTACAAACATCTAAAAATCAAGACCTTACAGTGAGAAGGTTCAGGAAACTTTTTGATGCCTGAATTCATACAAAATTTATGTCAAGTATTTAGAATTAAGTGCCAGCACACTATTCAGATTCACTATAGTGATAGAAGCATGCTTGTCATTACAAAATCAATTGATAAGACCACTTTAAGCAGCTCAGATGTTTTTTGCTCTGATCCTGATGAAGGGAAGTCTGAACCATTATACCTCTATTAGAGCAAAGTTGTCCATTCTCCGTCAATACAACAGTGAAAGGTAGTATAGAAATGGCACATTATTGACCTCTGACCTATCTTCAAGTGAAAAATGGCAAAACCATTATAGCTGCTTGTCAGAAGCGCTTTTCTTGTTCACTGAAGTCCGTTTGTCCCTCTGGATATATCTGAGCCCTCTTTCCCCAGGCAATACAAAGGCTAAGAATTCATTGCCCTCATAGTTGATGCTGACATTCTTCTCCTTCTCCCAAATGAATGTTTTAGTGGGGAAGGGAAGAGGAAAAAGAGGTGAGGTGAAGGAGGAAATGAAGAAATCCTTGGTTTTGTAGATGATTCTGTTGTCTCTACATATGCGCCAGTTAGGCTCTGGCCTATATGCCTCAGGTATGATGCCCCTGTTGCACCTTCATCCACTGCCAGTCAGGAGGTGGCACAGAACCCACAAAAATTTCAGCTTTTAAACCTGCCAAAATAGGCTTTAAAAAAAAAGGTACACATCATTTCCAGGCATGGTAGAAGAGTGTGTTGAAAGTATATACTACAGAGAGGACTAGTTCAGTGGGGAATCAGCTAACTAGATCATTTGGTCAAGGGCATGGGAGGGTACCATGCTGCACGGGTAGAAACGCTGGATTGGGACTGGAGCACATACAACTTTTTTGCATAGTTTGGACTCTCCATCCAAGCAGAGAGCAACCATTCAGCTGTTTCAGAGATCCAATACAGCTGCGGAGAGTATCAAAAAGCTACTTTATATAAAAACTGATGACTGTCGCTACTGTACAATAACATAAGCAAATGAGGAAAAAAAGGGTAAGCTGTAGTATCAGAAGAGAAAGGGAGAATACTTTTATCCTGTATCTTACTACAGGAGATACTGGAACTAGAGGATGCAGAAGAGAGCGGGGGAAGAACAGGTAACACAGATAACAGGGGCAGTAGACATGAGCCACGCCTCATGAGTTCCCTTGCCAATCCCATAACAACTGACCTCCAAACAAATGAAACAACTACGATCCCAATCTCACTACATTGGGCACAAGCTGTGTGGAGCACTTGGGAATCACATAATATAGTTTAGCACTACTCGGCCACAGGAACATCTCAGCTGCAAAACAGCATGCTAAACCCTGAAACTAACATTTCTTTTTCTGCCCAAACACCTAGGAAATTCAATGACAGACATTAAAGCAGAGTTCAAGTTATCTGAAGGTATGTCTTTGCAGGAAAATGAGTTCAATGAACTTTCCAAAAATGTTCCATAATCATGCAACCGTCATATGCAAACTTTATTCTTTTCTCTAAGTAACATCCTAATACACAGTTAGGACCCAAAACTCCTTTGACAGGCAAACACAGTTTAGACCATAGTCAAAACAGAGGGCTGTGACACCTGTAAATTATAAATGTACTGATCAGGATATAAATAATATTAGATTGTTGAATATAAGTGTACAAAACTATTTTTACCAACAATGGTATGCAAGTATTCTGTGGCATCGTGATGGCATTGCCAGACATAATATATAAGCATTTTACCTAAGCCTGTGAACGCCAAAGGGACGAACAGTGATGGGCACAGCTGCACACAGGAGTTAGCCAGACAACAAAAAGTTGCCAGACAGAGGACAAGGTTAAATACAAGAGATTGCAAACAGGAATACACAATAAGGATGACTGGCAAATCAACAGAAAACAAGATAAGCAATATCAAGTCCAGAGGAACTCTATGTCCCCTGAGGGTGGGGGGCAACAGCATAAAAACTTCAGGCACTAGCAAGGAAGACTGGAGAAGTAAGATGAGCCCCCTTCATTTCTGACTTCTGTCAAAGAGCTCTCAAGCCTGGTCAATGCTGACACTACAATTAAGGACTACCAAGGAGAGCAGCTATCAGTTATCTACATAACCCAGCAACAGGAGGCAGCTTGGTAGATCTCTGAAGGTCCCCACAGATGCCTCCCCTTGGTCAACCATGGAGTTGATCAAGGAGTCAATGGAGCTCATTTTCCTGCCCTACAGAGGGCCATGTCCTCCCCAGAGAAAAATGCTATCACAGCCTGCCAAGCTGCTCCTGCAGAGTCCTCTATGAATCAAGACAGCTATCATGCTGGAATGCAACTGGAGTGCATGCAGAAAATTTCCATCAGCTACTGTCAAAACCAGGGCATAAAGTTAAGGCTGACTGAGCAGGTCTCGCATCCTTCTCATTCCTCAGAAGTTCAGATTTTGCTGAACTTAACATGCGGGTAAGGCCAGGGATATTAACTCAATCTGGGGTTAGAATTTGCCAGGTGTATAAGTGCAACAATAAATAACAAAGTTGTAATTCTTCAGGGGAAGCCTGGGCCATAGAGAGTGATCATGAATGACACCTTTGATCATATGGAAAAGGTTAGCATATGTGCCATACCATAGATACCCTTCCTAGACTAATACACCAAAGAAATCAAATTTAAAAGAATGCATTATCACCACAAAAATCAAGAAAATTTTAAAGTTTAAGTACAGGAAGTCAGATAAACATTGCAAGACTTTAAAAACAGTGCATGTAAAAGCTTCTTTATGGACATGGGTAATTTTGGAAAAGGTTAGCATATGTGCCATACCATAGATACCCTTCCTAGACTAATACACCAAAGAAATTAAATTTAAAAGAACGCATTATCAAAAGTATCCTATCACCACAAAAATCAAGAAAATTTTAAAGTTTAAATACAAGAAGTCAGATAAATATTGCAAGACTTTAAGAACAGTGCATGTAAAAGTTTCTTTATGGACATGGGTAATTTTGATTGAAATAATGAGTCATCGCCCACAATTAGTACATGTATTCTATATAACGTATGACAGACTTTAAAATATCTGAAACAATTCATTTCAAGGGGTATGGAGTTATTCCATTAGTACTGAAAGTTACCAGTCCATTTCATATAAATGAATTTTGGAGATTTTACCAAATTTGATAGTATATAGTCCAGAACAATTACCACCAGCTATTGCTTTTGGGTGATTTAAACACAGGCCTGGCCAAATGATTTTATAGAGTAAACAATTTCTTTCACAGCTCTCATTGTAAAATGCAATGCGTTTATTTATAATTTCATTAAAAGAAAAAATCTCTGGACTAACCAAAACAAGGAACTTCAACTTTGGACAATGTCTACAGGGCAGATGTTGCTGTCTGGAACAACCTTTGAGTCCTTGAAGAAGTAAAAGTCACCGAGTAAATTTAATGTTTCTATCCTCTACTCAGCTTGAAGAATGAATCATTGCTGATGTGTCAGAAAATACCAGAACACAAAAGACTTGCCTACTATTTCTAAAAATAAATTGGTTTTTTTTAAGGGCCAAAGACATCTGTAGGTAAGTCTGAAGAACTACCCAGTTTGTCATCAATCTGTGAATCAGTAATTAAATCTCAGGTTAATAGCATGCGACTAACAGATGCTTTTTGTAGGCAGTTTAATGATTTGAAACATTGTATATGTATAACACCAATGCAGTAAACAATGGAAATGCCAAGACACAAATTAGTTCTTTCCTAAAGGCCAATTGAAAAAAAAAAAGGCAGCTCAAAATTAGTGCCTGTTCTTTCAGCTTTTTTTTTTTTTTCCTGGAGTGGATTTGAAAGGGGAGCAAGGAAACATACTGTAAAAGGTAATTTTATCTCAGAAAATCTTCATTCTCCATTTTTCAAAGTTTGACTGAAGATTAAAGTCTTTCACCAGCTTGAAGAATTATCTACACTAATGCTTTCAACATAATAATCATGGAGAAATGGGAGCAACAGGAAATGTTACTGAAAGAAAGGTTTGTTGCTTACTATGTGCCTTTTAAATATGAACAGATTAAACAACTGACTTCTAACTGAAGTTAGGAAGCAAAGGTAAGCTGAAAAAAATATAATGGATTTGTGATCAATCTGAAAAAACCCCAACCACTTAATACAAAAAAATTATCTGACATTATTAAGTCTCTCACTCTAAATAACCAATAACATTTAAGTCAAGCAACCCACTTGATCTACTGCCCTATTTGCAAGTGATGTGTTTATTCACCCACAATACAGAGCTCTGCAAAATAAAAATAATTGCAGGAAGAAGTCCCAGTCATTATTCGATTGGCTCTCCAGTCTTCCAGCACTAATGATGAGAAGTCCAACTAACAGAAATGTGACAACATTAAACAGCAATATTCGAATGCCAAAGCATAATAGGTAGTCAGCACATAAATGATAAACGGTCATATGTACTCCGTTCCCTCCTTCCCTCTCCCCTACCACAATATTTAAAATAAAAATAAAATATCCACAAACTATCGGAGTACTGACATGTAATCCTCTGGGGGAAAAAAAGCAAAAAGCTATGAACTGTTAGAATTTGGCACTGATTAAGTGAGTGAACATAGTGAAGATAATGCATACATCAACAAGTAACAGCTCTCTTTTGCAAAGCCAGGTATATGAATTTCTCTCATTACTCAAGAAATACTTTTGCTCTTTCCATCTTCAAATGGGAAGAAAGGAAAGAAGTTTGGTAACCAACATCATGCAGCTTAGAAATTCTGATTTATAGTTCTGTGTATAACTCTGAACTAAAGCATATATTCAGACACACTGAAGGGAGCATCCCATGTATTGCACTACTGTTTACTCAGCTCCAGAAGAGTCCTGAAATGCCTTTGCTCAAGCAATGTAAGGAGATACATTATAGGGAATGGAGGAGCTGATGGAAACCATGTCTTTTGCCAGTTTTTACTACAGAAGGGAGATGAGAATAGTGAACACCACTAAGAAAAATGAGCAACAAACTCATGACTCAAAATAAAAACATACTGACTGTAGGTCATGCAGGCTGAAATCATAGAACCATAGAATCATTAAGGTTGGAAAAGACCTCTAAGATCATCCAGTCCAACCGTCAACCCAACACAACCATGCCCACTAAACCATGTCCCTAAGCGCCTCATCTACACGTCTTTTAAATACTTCCAGGGATGGTGACTCCACCACTTCCCTGGGCAGCCTGTTCCAAGGCCTGACCACTCTTTCAGTAAAGAAGTTTTTCCTAATGTCCAGTCTAAACCTCCCTTGGCGCAACTTGAGGCCATTTATTCTTGTCCTATCGCTGGTTACTTGGGAGAAGAGACCAACCCCCACCTCGCTACAACCTCCTTTCAGGTAGTTGCAGAGCGCGATGAGGTCTCCCCACTCAGCCTCCTCTTCTCCAGGCTAAACAACCCCAGTTCCCTCAGCCGCTCCTCATAAGCCTTGTGCTCCAGGCCCTTCACCAGCTTCGTTGCCCTTCTCTGGACACACTCTTGAAATAGAGCTGGGCACATATACATTTCTTGAAATAGAGCAGGGCAGGGCAGAGAGGTCAGAGTTCAACATTCAACAGAAGAAAGAAGTGTCTGGGGGCTCAGAAAGGACTGGCCAAAACCACAACGGGCTGCTGGAGTGGACTTTTTCATGTCCTCCGAGACTCAGTGTTGTCTCTGGAAATAACGGATGTGCATTTAAATAAACCCACAAGTTCTCACTGTAAGCATCCTGAAACATTCTTGAGGCAAACTCACAATCCACCAGGGAAATACAGCTTTGCTGCCAGGACCAGGGCAGGTGGATCACATAGCACCAGCACTCAGAATTAGTACAAGTTAGGAGCTGCTGGAAGTGAGCCAGGACCAGGACACCACTGACCCTCCAGAAGCAGACACTGAGATCAGAAGCACCACCGCTTGACAGAGGACTCAGGACAGGGAGCTCGGCCAGGATTATGTCATGCAAGTAACTAAGTGTAAAATAAATAACAAAACTGTCCCCACCTGTGGCAGAAATAGGATCTGGTACGAATGGCAAGCAATCTGGGCAATTTGGAATATTTACAGTATGAACACAGCTAAAGCAACATATCCAGTTCTCTACTCACATATACATTTCTTGAAATCCTTTCAATGTTTCTTTGGTAGTAGTATAAAAGCAGTGTAATGTTAGTTCAGTGTATCAGCATGACAGCATAAGAAACGTCTCATTGCAAGCAACTGCACTTTAATCACTGAGTCAAAAATGTCAAAAGATACAACTTTTTATTAAAGAACTTCTTAAGGCTTTATCATTTTTCTATCATCACGGACACTTCCTCAAGAAAGTAACTCAGAAAAAATATACAACAGTCCTTAAGTCTAGCGTTTTTGATAAGTTATATGTGCAAAAATTACCAATTCTGTCTCCATAGTTTATAGTTTGTTAATACTACATTAAATTCCTGGGATACACACTGTGAATAAAGACTTGTTACTTACCTATCATACACATTGAGTAGCCAGTTAAGACACATGTCCACACAAAGAGGAACATTCACCATATCTTTGTGTTTCTCTTCGAGGTCACTGTAGATAGTAGTGAGACAGCTGATCACATCCTGGACACCAATCAGCTGGTCGTTTTGACTCAACTTGTGCTGTTTGAAAACTTCACTTGTTGTGTTCAGGTCCAACAGGTCCACTAACAACAGATGATTAAAAAAAAAGAAAAAAGGCGTGAATATAGATGCCTGAGCATAGCATTCACAATACTTGTTCACATGCATATTGTAGCAAACACTGCAGACAATTAGCCAAGAAATAGCTTTCATTTAGTAACACTATAGTGAAAAACTGTTCCGTGAGAAGTCAACAGCATTTTGGTACTATATATTAAAAAATCCAGAATCAACAAGAACAACATAATGACACTGCACAGCTCAGATGAACATTTAAAAAGCCACTGAAGTAGCCTGTGTAATTAGAGTATCCTAACTTCAGATTATACTGGGAGTATACACACACTGGGAGTCCACTAGGCTTAGAGGATTCTTTGCATTTAGCATAAAGCAGAAACCCATTAAATGACTATCACTTTTGATTAAATGTGAAGCAAAGCAAATTCTTAGGTAACAACGTTCTCTTAAATGCAATAGGAATCTTCTGAGGCCTGATTAACTGAACAGCAGTTGCTAAATTAAGGCTTAAAAGAAAGCAGGGAGGGACACAGGGAAATCATTTATTGTAGTTTTCTGGAACACAAAATGCTACGCTTTCATGAAAAATATTTTGATCTCCTTTATTACAGCATGCTTTCTATAAGCAGCTGGTGATGCTATGGGTGTCACCCTTGAGGTGACAAGGGGTTTGGCCCCAAAACCATAGAAACGTGATTGAGATTGTGAAAATCTGGGTTTTGCATGGTGAAAATAAAAAGCTGTCAATAAGCTCTTCTAGTTCCTTTTGCAAATCAAAGTGGAAAAGAGGAAACTTACTTTGGTGTAAAAGAAGGAAGAATAATGTAAGTCAAAGGGTGGTATAATCCTCAGTGACATTTTTTGACAGAAGCAAGGACTTTAGCAAAAAAAATAGTTGCAATGTATCAGTATGCTTGCTACAGTGTATACAACATGAAGTTAAAAGTATATTCTGAGCTCATACAGAGCTGTTTCTGGAAAGCCAGTAACACATTTACACTATAAATGTCACCTCTCAAAGGAAATGAAACATGACAATCTCAGATGTGTTGCAAATTGCTGTGCACCAGTAACATTAAATAAGGACCCCAGAAGGGCAGTCTGTGCAAATCAGGTAAGTCTAGCTTGGGCTGGAAAAGAAGTACAGCAGAAAAAAGCAGGAGCAGGACAACACTAACCACTATGAGCAATTCTGTGAAGAACTCAATGAGCATCTACGAAAAGGTAAGGTTGTAGGCCAAAAAAGCGTTATACTCCCAATCCCATTTCCTCAATCTATCCTTCCTAATATCACTAAAATGAGAAACAGTACCTCACAGACCTTACTTTTTCTCTCCCTTACTGACATCTATACATTCTGTTCTAACTTTACAGCATCAGACTCGCAGGAGTTTTATGTTTGTTTGCTTTTTATTTTCTTTTTCTTTCTTTCTAAAAGCCCATCTCTTGGGCTTGCAAACAAAAACCAGCCATGTGTTTACCAAAAAGGCAAACTGCTAATTGCAGCAAAACACCCTGCAACGAGTTTGACCTGAGGTAGCCAAAGTATTTGGCAGTACACTGCAGCATAATCTTCTACAGTAGCTGCAAAATATGTAATACACTGGTAAAAGCTCACCGGCATATTTAAAAAGAAAACAAAACCAAAAAAAACCCACACCACGATGCAACACAGACTGGTTTTTTGAGGGGTGAAGTGAGGGGGGTGAAGGCAGGTGCAAAACTGTAACATGCTATCCAATCACATAAATATTGCACTTGGGAGAGATAGCCACTTTCCACGCTTTTCCTTCATGACCTACAGGGGGGAAAAAAAACCCCTCAAAATTATTGCAACCAGTCTGGTATTTTTTTCAACCTGTTTTTGTAATGTACTTAGTGGTTGGCTAAAAGCAGATAAGCAGCTTCCTAAAAGAGACTGACAGCACCCAAGCCCTGCCCTTTTTAAAGCCAGTGAAAACTTGGATTGCTTTGGAATGCCAGAAAGTTGTAGCCTTTGGGCTTGGCTTAGTATAACCATCCTTGCACTGAAAACGGCAATTCAACAGACGCTGGAGTACACCTGCTAACTTCACGTCTTGATCTGCTGGCATTAAGATCTTACATTCACATTTCTGCCAAAGGACTCTAGAGGGAATCGGGAGAGGTACTTTCAGTATTTTCATGCTAAAAAGAAACTCTGCTGCAGTACTAATGCAAATTAAACAAAACTTACACTTTTGGATGACACCATTCATGGAGAACAACCAGAGGAAATTACTTCTGACCCTGCTTACTTCAGCATGAACTTTGGGTACAGGCAGTTATCCTGCCGTGGTACGGTCTACCCACTAGCAGTGCCCCTGGATTGGGCTGATGTAAAGAGAGATTATTTTCTCATTACATTTCCATTTCTGAAAGTTTTTAAATAAACTGTGTTTATGCAGATGGGGAAAAGCTAACCTGAGATTCTCATGTCATTGCTGGCATGAAGCCTACTGTACACAGCTTTTAGTGCATTTTTGCAGTACCGTTCTGCATCTGCTCAAATGTGCTGAACGACCAATCCTGCTGTTAGCCAAAAAATGGACACAAGGGTCATTTCTTTCCTTTCTGCAGCGAGGAGACCTTCCCAAAGGAAAACTATAAACAGAAACCACGTCATTCAGCACAGTTCAAGCAGAAGTGACTGACTCAGGAGCAAGTAATGACATGCAGCTGCTAATGGCAAATTTGAGGCTGCTGTAACCCCACAGAAAATAGGCAGGCATTGCTATGGAGCTGTTGTATCAGAAAGACCTTGTGAATGACAGCAGTTCCTGCAAAAGACTGGATGGCTAAGGGAAGTCTACATGGCTCTCGCTTTTAGTATGGTGTGCCTTAATGTTCGTTCCTTAGCCTTGTGCAGTTGATATTCCTATTAGCATTCTTAAATTTTAAATCACCTAGAGGAGCTCAGTGACAGAATTCTGAATATACATGGCGGTTTTGTTCCCTTTCTCCCTTCCAGTACTACACTTCAGTACCTGGGGCAATATCATTTCTTGAAAACGAGCTAAAGTATGCTGCACAAGAATAAAATATTATAGTCAGGGGCTGGTGTTGCATAGCTGCCCAGTACAACTGCAACACAGGATACTCTCTCTGGCCCCATTCTTCTTCTGCTACAGTGGGAAAGTGCTCTCAGTACATCTGCCCCACATAATCTGAGACAGAGAAGCTAAGAATTTGTTCTTTCCAACCTGCAACCTTTCTCAGCTTCCTGTAAAATAAATACACATAGGTACATACACACATATATTAGTCTCTGCAGGAATCTACCTTCCGAAAAACAGAACGAGATGAAACGTGACTCTACTTTCCCACTTCTAAAGGAGGGTGGGAGAAGTGGGAAGGAATAACTTCCCCAGAACCATGTTTTTTTGACACTTATCAAGACCAAAGACTCAGAAGAGAGATTTGTCATCGGCAAAGTTTTCCACAGTGCAGTTCTCAAAATTACATACTCCTGAACCTGCTTGTATAGCACTAATACTGTGTTACCAGTCCTCGCTGCAAAGTCAAAATCTATCAAGTGCAAGTGGGACTGTGCATCCTGCTCCAGCTGTGCCCTTGAGTTCTCACCAAAAAGGCCTTTGCAGTTAGTTATACACACACTGCAGCTGTGACAGCAATTTGTCACATTTTACAGTTTACAATGACCTCATTTTCTAGTGATTTGTTTTGACATTTTCTTTGCCTTAGCACATAAGCCTTTCTGAAGCATTCTACATCCAAACACCTTCAAAAACCATCCGCATTTAAAACTAGAGGAAATACAATGGAAGACTAAAGTAACTCAGACCAGAGAATGAACGGCAGGGGCATAGAAGATGACTCTTTCGCTACATTTAAACAAAACCACCAACAAATACAAGTCAAGAAAAGAATTCTACATAGGGCTTAACCACTCTCCCCCTTCCTCCGAGAGGATGTGCTAGCACGTGCTGTGTTTTGGGTATCTCAGCAGCCATTCCTGGAACAGAATCAGGCTGAGAATCATCAGAATCAAAGGGAATTTGACCTGTTCCCTGGCAAGAAATAATCAGCTAAGCAAACAATGACAAAAGGAGCAGCACTGATTATATTTTTGAAGGTGGTCTTAAAATTGTGCCAGATCATAACGAGTTCCTGTTCAGAGACAGAAAACTCTTGTAGCATTTAGTTTTTTGGATAATGTGCAATGTCTTTCTTAAAAACCCACAATATTGTGTTCTCACAAATTACACCAATCCTTTGTCAAAGATGTGCATGTAATGAAGACAAAGATTTTTTTGGCTGTTGTCTCCTCCCATAAGGCAGAGAGATGGAGCAAGCAAACAGCTTCATAAATAACGAGGCAGATTGGATCTGTAGAGATGACAGTTTTACTCCTGGCTCTTTCAAAATGGAATATTCTCTTTACTTCTTACTACTTCCCTCTGTCCTCCTTCCACCTCCCTCCCCTGAAACTGGAGACAATATTCACTTTGATAGGAATGCACCTTTGAAATCTGTGAGTGAGGAGAGCGAACCATTGCAGCTATTACAGAAATTGATATATTTTGCAGTAAAAGCAAGAGCAGGAAGTATGCTCCTCCTCAAAGCTTATTTCAGAAGTAATGAAAGTGAAGTTTGTTCTATACAGGTCGCTAAACAATCTGTATGCCTGTCAGAAATAGGCAGCATGATTAGCATCCATCATGTGCGGTCTGTTTTTTCACTCTTCCCTGGGGAGCAGCACACACAAGGAGAATTTTACTTTGCTTTCTTGCTTTGCTTTTGGATTTTTAGGTACATCTTGATGCATACTTTATACCCTGCGCACTGATAACCAGAAAGCTTATAATGCTCTTTAGTCTAGCTGGGAGATGAAACTATAGCCTTGGGTGGGACCATATCTCTTGCACAGAGAAGCTCTAGGCTATGCCAAAGAAATACAGTTTTTCCGTCAATACCATCAGACAATCTTTCGAAGTACAGGTTCTACTTTTTCCCAAATGTAAGA